GGACAGCGTGGATTTCGGTCTCGAGGATCTGCAGTCACCGGAGAGCCTGAGCTCCAGATTCTGAATCTTCAACAGGCACCAGGTCTTCAGCTCATCCACCAGGGAGGTCTGTAAGAGAGAGGCTGCGAGTCACACGGGCCGCTGTCGGCCCAGAGGGCGGAGGATGTGCAGCAGGAACGATGCAGACCAAGCCCCGCGTTGGACAGAACCTTCTGCATTTCTAACGTACTGCTCTGCAAGCTGGGTTTAGACTTTAGGTGGAATTAGGAATAATTTATTCTTTGAAGCTCCTTGGCCCGGCTCAGCAGACGGGCTCAACCCGCAGGCTCTCCGCGCGCTGCCCACCTGCCGCTTGTCGCCCTCGCTGCGCTGCAGCTCCGCGTGCTGCTGCAGGCGGCGGAGGCACTCGCTCCTCTCGGCCGACAGCCGCTCAGCCATGAGCTTGTCCAAAACACGCAGCTGCGGGAAAACCAAATGGAGCTGAAACGATCACGCTAAAAAAACTAAACACAAAAACAGTTTTCGAAGCTTATAAATCAATACTACAAGTATATATATATATATAGCTCACAAAAAAGCAGCAATCACAGAACTATCTGATTTAGAAAAGGCATTAAAAATAAGTAATTTAAAGGATTTAGAGGTGCAGTGTAAAGGAGTTCAACAAGAGGGCACTTACGACTATAAATCTATCAATCAATCAGCTGTAGGACTGCATTCTGTCTTTAGTTTCTCTCTAATGACCTCAAACAGTTAGATTTATTGTCTAAACACATGCCTAAAGCCACTTACACATTAAATGTGTTTTTGCTCAAAACCCTATTTAGCACCATCAGATCCCTGTAGACTGTCACAGTTCCCTGGTCTTGAATATTAGGTTTCAGGTTCTTTTTTTACAACAAAAGAAGCAATGAACAGACAGCGACAATGCAAACATTCATTAAGCTTAGGATATGTTTCTAATAATCACGTGGACAAGTCAGACTCATTTTCTTACTTGATGTTGAGTCTTGCTTTCCATTTGGCCCAGCTTAACATTCATCTTATCTTGTACCGTCCCAAACTCAGCTTTTATCTCTTCCACAGTTGCCTCCAACTGGTTCTCCAGTTTACTTATCAGAGGCTCACAACGACATCCGTTTATTGGTGCCTGAAAAGAGTAGTAGAGTATACAGAGCTATAGTGCAGTAGCTTGCTCTATCCCTCTGCTTTCTCTGTGTGCTTGGAGCACTATCACAGCTTCTCCGGGTCAGTGTCTTGCTCTTCTGTGCCGGGGACTGCATCTCACCCCCCGAGCATCGCACAGCTCAGCAGAGGATAGAATGATGCCCCAGCAAGACAGGACCTTGTTTGGAGAAGAACAGTCTAGCAAAGGATTCATCTCTGGGAACAAATCCTAAAATAACTCACTGCTTGTTCCACTCGGGCCACAGGTACACGTGGGGCAGACTGTACAGGCTGTGGTGCCGCATGGGGGCACCGCGTTACACCGTGTGTCCCGGTGCTGCCGCTCTGTGGTGCAGGACAGAGCCCCCCACGCGGGATCCGCACGGAGCCTCCCTGGGGCCAAGGCAGCTCCTCCTCGTCGCCTTCAACCACAGGCAGAAACTGGCTCCCTTGGGGGTGAGTCGGAGCCTCACAAGGCGGCTCCACGTCTGTCCCTGGGGGAGGCCCCCTCTCTCCTTGGCTCCTTCACAAACTGGGACTTCCTTCCACTGCAGGGAAGGCAGAGCACTAGGGAAAGCATCAGAAATAGGGATACTAAGAAATTCTGTCTTTTGCTCAGGGCCTGAGGGCATCAAAGATGACAGAAGAGCCAAAAAGAAGGGGAGGGAAGAGTGTCGTGTATTCAGGGATTACTAAAAAAAAAAGAGAAGTCTCAACATATTAAAAGTTAATCTTTGTGAATAGATCAGCTTTGCATACAACTGCTGTCCGCTCTCTACACCTGTCTTCCTGGTCCCTAAATCCTTCCTACTTGCCCTTTCCCCTATTGCCAGACCCTAGGGACAGGGATGGATTCATTTCAATGTCTGAAAGGTCCTCCAGTCTTCCCAGGTGTTGCCACAAAACGACCAGTGATGATTACGGGTTGGCTCATCTGCAAGCTGTGATCTGGCTCATCTGCCCACTGTCAGGAAAATCCCATAATGCCATAAAGTGTCTGGAGACTTCCCGTTGTTTATACAGAAGGATCTTAAAAGAGTGGCCAATAAAGCCTTTGGGGTCTGGCTTTAGTCATCCTTGTAGTCTTTTGAAGCTCAAGGCACCGCAAAGGAACAGGGGTAGCTGGTTTGGGGATGTGAGACACCAGTGAAGCTGAAGGACTCTTTCTCCCAGAGGTGCAGGGTGCTGCTTAGGAAAAGCAGCTGTATGGGATTTACAGTGTCTACAGGGTAATTTGCTGCCTGCTTTCATGCTCTTTTATAAATGTGCACTGGCGGGTATTTGCAGAATCAAATAAACTGGGTGGAGTAAAGTGTTAGTCCCTGAACTGCAATAAATGCAGATGAGCTGGAACTCCTGGACTACTTGCAAGCCAATTTCTGAAAAGTTCCTGTCTCTTGCAGTCTTAGGATCTCCAAAGCATTGCTGGAATGAACAGAAAGAACTGAAATTAAATGTACTGAACATGCTTCAGTTCTTGGCTTAGGCAGCAAGATTAAATGTTCACACAGTGTTTTTATATTTTTCCTGTCGTCATTGAAAATGCTCTTTACATTTCTGACCTGAAATCTTAATATTGCAAAGTGTATCATAAAAGCGCCAGTGTCATTTCCAAACACCGTTCACACCTTATCTACAAAAGGAAAACAACGAAGAGACCAAGACTAGCTAAGTGTTCGTTCCTTGGCACGGATGAGCCCAGCCTGTTGCTCAGCAGGCTTCACGCCCAAGCGGAGCCGAGGCTCCTCGCCGCGCGCCCCGCTCACCTGCATGACGCGGCCGTCGCGCCCGCGGTACAGCGTGTACAGCTGGTAGGCTCGCGTGGGCTGCTGGCTGGCTGGGGAGATGGGGTCCGAGAGCGCCGAAACCTGCAGGAAACACGACAGCGCTTCTCCTGGTTACGGGCCCTCTAGTCCTGCCAGGGACTCGGCACGTTCATTGTGGTAATTACTGCAAAAACCTGATGAAGACGTAAGTCCAGCTGCTGTGCCTGGCCACAACCTGCTGTTTATCAACACAATAACCAAATATCTGCCCAAATGCAGCTTGCATGACCCCCCCAGCAAAAGAATTTCCCCACCAGAAACGGGTTTTGCCTGCAGACTACTCCTGTTCCACAGCAGAGGCTGGAGAGCAGGCAGGAGGGACACAAGTGCTGTTAGTCAGCAGAGGTTGTAAGTCTACAACTACCTTTTCTTTTGGCTTCTTCTTCTTGCCCTTCTTGCCTCCAGGGCCCGGGGAGGCTGAGCGGGGCTCCTCTTTCAGCTCGCTTTTCCCCTGGGGTGGCTGCTCGCTGCTCGGGGTGTCTTCGGCAGCTGAGACACTGCCCTGTTCGAAGGGAAGCAGCAAGAGCCCAGCAGTTGTACAGTTGTAGGGATGGGGAGAAAGTGGCTTTTCTTCACATTTTCAATGCCAAGCGGGTCAGCAAGAACGAAAGTGCCATGGAGAGGCTTTAGCAGCAAAGCACAAAGCATGTCCCTGTCCCTGGGACTCCCCTCGGACATGCCATGCAGACTTCTGCTGCCCTCGCACAAAATGGACACATCCTGGTACTTCTAGCCCTCATGGGTTTTATTCCCACTCCCCCCTTGCAACGCAGCTGGTGACGCTGGGCTGTACCTTGCTCTGCACCACTTCATCTCGAGGCACGGACTGAGCCCGCCTCTCCTCCTTCAGCCTCTCCCTCTTCTTCCGCAGGCTCCTTCCACGATTAAAGCGCGACACCTGAGGACGGACACCGTTACTCCGTGCTCTCCCTGGCACGGAAGCCACGCAGTAAAGCAGACTGGTTTAAACACCTCCCCAGGGACAACGCACGGAGGAGAACGCAGTCTGACGGGCTCAGTAACGCGGCCATTAACGGCTGTGAAAACACCACCACCGAGCTACATCCAGCGGGGACTTTTTTGCTGTCCCTGGCAGCTCTCCCCCTTTTTGCTGTCCCCAACCCAAGGTGCTGCAGGTGCCTCCACAGCAGAAACACAAGCAGGAGGCTCCCCAGGGCTCGAGCACAGGCCCTCAGAGCTGGGGTGACCGCGCGGGGCCCTGCAGACCTGAGCCTGCACTCAGCTCCACGCGCCAGGGCCGGACATGGGTGACACACCTGGGATGCCTTCGTGAGGAGAAGCGCGACCTCGGGGTTGTTGTTCTGCCTGGCAGCCTCGAGAGGGGTCTGGCCTGCCTGAGGGGGAAACAGCACACAGCTTCCTTCAAAGCACAAATTACTGAACACGTAGCATTTCTCCCCATAATGTTAGCAAGTGCTCCGTGCACAGGAGTAAAATGACGAAGAGTTTTAGTTCTCCCAGATTTAATTTAGCTCTCTAACCAAATATTTTCTACCAACACTAGAAAAACTTGCTCAGAGTCTGCATTAATACAGAATATCAAAGAAACTCCATGTGCCACTTACATTGTTGACAACTGACGTATCGGCCCCCGCCTCCAGCAACAGCTTAACCACCTTTTTGTGATTTAGAGCCGCGGCGACGTGGAGTGCAGTGTCTCCTGCCTGGAAATTGTAAAGCAAAATGCAGCCATGTGGTGGGTGTCTTGGGGCAGAAATCCGAGCCTCCCAACAGCCGCTCCTGCTTCAGGAGACCCACCGACTCGATGTAACAACTATTCTTAAATTAGGCTTGGTTGAGTGGATGGGGGAGGAAGGCAGCAGGAAGGGCAAAAATTTGCTGCTGCTGCCCTCTTTGGAGGAGCACAGCCGGGCCTGTTGCACACGCAGCGACACGAGACGCAGCGCGGAGCCGGCCCCACCAGCGCAGCAGACAGCTCCGAGGGCAAAAGGGGCTTCCCAGGGCCTCCCCTCTCCCAGCAGGCCGGGTCACCCGGCAAGCAGGGAGCCACAGGTCGCTCAGCTCAGAAACCATTAGCAGTGGCGAGCGGGGCGCTGTTCTCTCGAGGTGACCCCTCAAGAAGAGCTGCGTGTGGCATCGAGCCAAGGGGCTGTAGGAGCAGCGCCTGCAACACAGCCCTGCGCTTGCTGTGGCAGAGCCGGAGACGCTGTATTTGGGCAGGAAACGTCCTCCCTGTCCCCCTGCCCTGCGTTTTGTCCCCAGGATGTGAGGGCCCCTGTGCAGGATGTGCCTGGAAAGCTCCGTCTGGCTGCTGGTGCGGGAGGCGCTTCTGCTCCGACAGACACGCGCCGGGCAGCGCCATCTGACAGGGCGACGGAGGAGAGCGGCGTTTCCCTACGCCAGGTTCACTCTGGATAATCTTAATATTCAGCAGTTCATTTTACAAATTAAAAAAATCTTATCTTCAAATAAAATTACATCGCAAATTCAACATGCCAAAATTCATCCTGTAATACCTCCTATCTAAGGAACATACAGAGCAGAGAGCATCTTTGTGATCCTGGACTATGGGAAAAGCTTCCCGGGAACATGAGATCATGTGGTAAAATACCACACAGCTTATTTATTTAGCAGCTTTAATGTATTTTTAATGCACTAAATCTGTTCCCTTCTACCACCCAATTAGGCTATGCATCCAGGAACTTCCCAGGTAAAAAAATATGGATTATTAATTCTAGCTTATACTGCATATACTGAATTTAAAGCAGTCTTTCTTCTTGCTTACTGTATTTTTGACTCCTACTCTTTCATAATGCACCAGAGCAGAACAAAATTTCCAAAGAAAATTGCACTTTTGTAGCATCTGAACAGTGATGAGCTCTGCTTCACACTAACCAAGTGCTGTAATCACAGAATGGTTGAGGTCGGAAGGGACCTCTAGAGATCACCTAGTCCAACCCCCCTGCTCCAGCGGGGACACTTAGAGCACGGGGCACAGGGTGGCATCCAGGAGAGTTTGGAAGATCTCCAGAGAAGGAGACTCCACAGCTTCTCTGGGCAGCCTGTTCCAGGGCTCTGTCACCCTCACAGTACAGAAGTTCTTCCTCACATGGAGATGGAACTTCCTGTGTTTCAATTTATACCCATTACCCCTTGTCCTGTCATTGGCCACCATCAAGAAGAGTTTGGCCCCAGCCTCTCTACATTCTCCCCTCAGTGGCTGTAATATGATTACCTGGGAGAAAGGCCAAATCCCTGGCGCAGTCCCATGCTGTACAGAAGTAGCAGAGCAAGGACTGAGGAAACCCGACCCCTACCCCAAGGCTTGTGCCCAACCCCTCTGCCATAACCCCCTTCTACACAATTGTGCTTGTAAAGACACCCATACTTAGGAAATGCTTTAACAAAATGATGCAAATGTGATGGCAAAATAATAAACCACGGATATGCCAGTACTTTGAGACTATTTTTAGAAGCTTGGGCACTCAGCATGGCAGTGGAAGCCATATTAGAGTGGGATTGCTTGGGTTGGAATCCCTCCTTCCAGTGACTCCGTGCGCAAAGGGTGCACGTCGCAATGAGGTTCATGCACTGACCTGGTTCTTTTCATGGACTGAACAGAAAGCAGTGAGCAGCACCCTAACGATGGGCAAGTGATTATAGCGAGCAGCCACATGCAGACAGGTATCTCCTGCCTGCAAACAGAAACAAAGCTCTGAGCATGTAATTGCAGCAGGAAAGTTTGTGCTTGTCATGGTGGTCCCAGGTGGAATAATCCTATTAAAACAAGAGAGTTGTAAACAAGAGGTTCCTTCTCTGTGAGCAGCTGGGCTGTCTTCTCCCCAGTACAAGAGCCACTGTCATAGCCAGGAAGGTTTAGCAACAGCTGGGAGGTGGCGTGGAGGGACCTGAATTTTATAGCCATCGATGGGAAATAAGTGTTTA